GAGGGGTGCCTGGCTGGCTCAGTCAGTGGAGTGTGTGACTCCTGATCTTGGGGTTGTGAGTTTGAGCCCCACGTTGGGTGAAAAATAAAATCTTTAAAAAAAAAAAAAATGTTAGCTGAAGGAATGAATGTGCACATGGCCTATTTCCCTGAAGGCAGAAGCATCTCTTTTTCTCTTGCACTCCCCCACAGAACTGAAATTCAGTAAATGCTTAATAAAGACTTATTGACTGCATTAGGTATATATTGTGTAACAAACTACCCAAAATTTAGCAGCTTAAAACATTATAAAGGGTTATTATCTCACACACAATTTCTGTGGGTCAGGAATTAGGGGGCAGCTTAGCTCAGTGGTTTGACTTGAGATTTTTCATGAGGCTGCAGTCAAGAGCAGCCTGGTATTATCTGAGGGATTGACTGGGGCTGGAGATCCATTTCCAAGATGCCTCCACCCACAGGACCATTGGCAGTAAGCGCCCATTCCTCACCAAGCGAACCTCTCCATAAGACTTGCCTGAGTGTGCTCCTGACAGGGGGGCTGGCCCCCCCCCAGGAGGAGTGATCCAGGAGAGCAAGGTGAAGTATCACAATGATTACACAGGCCATCCCTATCCCTATTCAATGTGGGAGTAGTCTACACAAGAGCAGGAATACTATGAAGCTAGACTAACTGGGGTCTTCTTGGAGAAGGTAGTCATTATGAACACGTATTCAAATTTTCTGAGCACTCGCTTTGTGCTGGGTGTGATGCTGGGCTCCAGGGAACGCAAGAATGAGTCAGAACTGACTATCCCTCTTCTCCTCACACGATGTGTGTGTGTTTGTGTGTGTGTGTGTTGGAGTGGCGGATGGGGGGGAGATCAGACAGACATGGAAACAGATGGTGTTACAGAGTACAATAAATATCACAATAGTGGTTTTAACAAAATTGCTTTTCTGTAATTCATATTTGTGGCACAACATTTAAGACACAGCATGAACGTTTCCTCCTCTCCTTATTATATAGCTATACACTCTTCCAGCTTAGATGTGACAACTGGAACCTATTTCATAGATCCTTCCAGAACTATTCTGTGCATATACACAAAGAAATTTCCCACCCTCTTTAAACAAAAAGACAGCACTAATCAAAGTGCATTCCTCTGCACCCGGCTTTTCCCCCCTTACTTACTTTATCTTGGAAATAATTTCCTATCAGTTCATAGAAAGCTTCTTCATTTTTATTAATGGCTGTATGGCATCCTATTATATGTGTGAGCCTCGGTTTATTTAACCAGTCTCCTCTCATTGAACATTTGTTTATTTCTAATCTCAACGATTTTCCTTGCACATCCATCACCTCCACTTGTGTAAGTGTAAACATAGAAGTTCCTGGCAGTGGAATTGCCGCATCAAGGGGTCCATGCATTTAAAATATTGTTAAGTAGGATTTATAACAACGTACCCTTCCACCAGCAATGTGTGACAATGTCTGTACTCACATGGTAAGTGACCAGACTTTCCAAACCTAGCCAATCCAGTGACTGAACAATGTTCTCTCGATGTGTTAATGTGTGTTTCTCTTACTATGGGTGAGGTTGGCACTTGCCACATTTCAGAGTTACTTGTGTTTTCTTTTCTGTGGACTGTACAAATAATTTGCCTATTTTTCTATTGCACTGTGGGTGTTTATTATTTATTTGAATGTCCTCTTTACATATCAAAGACACAATCCCTTTGTCTATACGACAAGCTTCAAAAACAGGGGTTTTTGGGGTTGTTTGGAACAAGTCGCTTTTAGACAGAAATGAGAAGTTTCTGCAGGTGCTGACATTTTCTGGGCATCACAGCAGAGCTGCCCAGGGTCTAAGGGAGCAGCTGTGCCCTGTAGGGTTCTGGTGGTGGGGGGTGGGAGGTGGGGTGGGCAAGGAGTCAGTCGTTAACTCTTGCACTGAATGGAAAGGGCTCTCACAGAAGACAGTGAACTCACCATCACAGGAAGTGGGCTGGACAGTCTGGCCTGGCTCTAAGACCCTTTGCCCTTCATCTGAAATGTCTGAGGATAGACAAGAAATGGGAGGACACACCAATAGGGCTGCCAATTTCTGATCATTTAAGCCTGAATGGGTGGAGACTGCATCCAGAAATTCCAAGCAACATTACTTAATAGAAATACAAACTTTCTAGAATGTAAACACCATGAGGCCACGGTTTAAGTGCTAAATAAATAGTTGTGGAATGAAGGAAGGAACGAATGAATGAATGAATATAATCAAAGGATGTGAGAGGCAGCGTTCCTGAGCGGGGAGGGAGCCCTCTTACCCCTGCCCCTCCCTGAACGTGCTCTCTCCTCTTCTTTCCTTCATCTGAGTCAGGTCTCAGCCTCGATCATTAGGTCCTGCCCCAGCTCCCAGGGCCCAGGCTCTCCTCAGCTGTCCAGTCAACCCTCCTGTCCTTCAGTAAAACGCAAGCCCTTTTGGTCACTCCCCTTTACCTGCACTTCGAGGGCCCTCTCAATCTGCCCATTCCTCTGCTTTTCTCTCCTATAATCCTGCTCCTCACCCTCCACACCCCATGTTCCCAGCAGTAGTTATGGTCACATTTATTGAGCACTTACTGTATGTCCTCTTACATGGATCTTGCTGAAGTCTTGCAACAAACTATGAGATCTATGAGGGTGATGCTATTATTATCCTCATTTTATAGATGAGGAAACCAAGACCAGAGACCTTTAGGAGCTTATCCAAGGTCACCCAACTAGCAGATGATAGAATTGGGATTCAAAACGCACTCATTCTTTTTTTTTTTTAAAGATTTTATTTATTTATTTGACAGAGAGAGAGAGACAGCGAGAGAGGGAACACAAGCAGGAGGAGAGGAAGAGGCAGGCTTCCCACTGAGCAGGGAGCCCTACTCGGGGCTCGATCCCAGGACCCTGGGATCATGACCTGAGCCTAAGGTGGACGCTTAATGGCTGAGCCACTCAGGTGCCCCCAAAATGTACTCATTCTGACCCCCAGGGCCGTGGTACCCAACCACTGGGTACCAGTGGAGCCAACTGGTTATCAGTTTTGGGGTGTGCCATGCTCCTTTGAACTCCCTGTCCTTTGCTCATGATGGCCCCACCTGGAGGGCTCTCCTATCTACCTTCCTCTACCTGCCCAAAGTCTTGCTCATCCTTCAGAGTCTTGCTTGTAAGTCACCCGCCCCCCACCCTGCAAAGCCTTTTCTGTTTTCCCTAGGAAGAGCTAGTTGCTCACTCTTCGATTTCACAATTGAGAACTTTATGCTGTAATTATGTGGGGACCTGTCTCCCCCATCAAGCCGTGAGCCCCCCCGGGACAGGAATTGTTCTATATCTCCCTCTTGTCTAGCACAATGTCTCTAGTGCATGCTCTTAGTGCATGCTCTCTAAACATTTGGTGACCAAAGGACAGTGGCTCGAGGACTCCTCCCCAACATGCCGCTGTGAAGGTCTGTTAGGAGTCTCTGGGGGGGAAGCTGGGAGGGAGTAGGAAGTTGCAGGACCCCAAAACGAAAGGAGCCACACTGGAAGGGGCAGCTGGAGACAATTTCATTAACGTCACCACTTGTTCATGGATCAAAACTGTCCCCAGGAGATCTAGCTGGAAGGGGAGTCCCATCCTTACACCACCTCTAGAGGTCTTTGAGAAGCAGCTGTCCCACCACCCGGGGTTTTCCCCCTCTTGCAGTGCCAGGAATGAAGCCATAATGGGAAGTGATCCTGGAAGGGTCTCTGGATGCTACAGTAGGAAGTGTGGCCAGAGTTCTCATGCTCGGAGCCTGGACTGCCCCAGACAGGGCCCTTTGGACCTCAGCTACCAAGGGGTTACGTGGCTTTGGTAAGAGGGTAGTTCCGGGATGGGTGGGGACTTCCTCAGGGTGTGAGGGAAATTGCTCCATCCCTTGAACTATGGGGTAAGAACTGCCCCAGTGACTCGGGGGCCCTGTCGCTGTGCTTCTCCCTCGGTGTCTCCCTTATGCAGGAACTTATTAAGGTTCCCCAGAGTCTCAGGACAAATGCCTCAGCGTGTGGCCACTACATCCCAAAAGCTGGTGGACAGGATAGTCGAGAAGTTAGGACTAGGGGCTCTGGAGTTGGCCAGATATGGGTCCAAATCCCAGCTTACTGTGTGACCTTGGGGTATTCACTTCATCTCAAGCTCCAATTCCCTCATCTGTAAAATGAAGATAAATAAATTGAAAACATCAAAATTAAGGATTTGTTCAATGGAACAAATTTGTTCAAAGGAAGACACAATGGGCCAGTGGTTTGCCAAGTGCGCTCCCTGGACCATCAACATCACCTGAGTACTTGTTAGAAATGCAGAATCTGGGCGCCTGGGTGGCTCAGTCATTAAGTGTCTGCCTTCAGCTCAGGTCATGATCCCAGGGTCCTGGGATCGAGCCCCACATCGGGCTCCCTGCTCCGCAGGAAGCCTGCTTCTCCCTCTCCCTCTGCCTGTTGCTTGTGTTCCCTCTCTTGCTGTCTCTCAAATAAATAAATAAAATCTTAAAAAAAAAAAAAAAAAGAAATGCAGAATCTCGGGCCCCAGCCCTGCTCTACTGAGTCAGAAACTCTGGGGGGGAGGGGGGGGCGGGGCGGCTCAGTGATCTGTGTTTTAACAAGCCTTACAGAAGATTCTGGTGCATGGTAAAGTTTGAGAACCACTACCCCAGACAAACCTGACATGAGCAACATATTAGGAGACGATATTGGGAACATCAACATCCAACAAGGCATTAATACCTAAAATTTACAAGCTACTTCTGCAAATTGACAAGAAAAAGACAGGACGGGGCGCCTGGGTGGCTCAGTTGGTTAAGCAACTGCCTTCGGCTCAGATCATGATCCCGGAGTCCCTGGATCGAGTCCCGCATCGGGCTCCCTGCTCGGCGGGGAGTCTGCTTCTCCCTCTGATCCTCCCCCTCTCATGCTCTCTGTCTCCCATTCTCTCTCTCAGATAAACAAATAAAAAAAAATAAAAAAAAAAATCTTAAAAAAAAAAAAAGAAAAGAAAAAGACAGGAAACCCAATAGATGATGGGCCCAAGACATGAATGGACAGTTCACTGAAGGGGAAGCCCAAATGCCTGACAAGTGTAGAAGATTCTGAATCTCATATTATCAGAGAAATTCAAACAATGAGATGCCACCTTACATCCAAACTATAGGCAAAAATTACAGTCGGATAATGTAAAAGCAAATGAAAATGTGGGGAGACAAGCATCTTTCACATGCCACAAATAGAATTTAGTGACATTTAAAACACACATGTGATTTACTAATTCCACTTGGGTATAGGGTCCAAAGAAATTTTCACATAGGCCCATAGGGTCATGTTCAAAGATGTTCATCACAGTGTTTTTTGCGGTGAGAGGAAGTTGGAAGCCACCTGGGTGTCCATCCCTGGGGTGGGGGTGGATAAATAAAACCACGGATGCTCAGCTTGGAATGCTTTGCAGCAATTTGATGTGATAAGCTAGATATTCCCACAGCAACATGGGTTATCTTAAAACTCATATGATGGAGTGAAAAAAGAAAGCAACAGAATGAGATCTTTACACAACGCCATTCACGTAGGGTAAATACACACACAAAGCATTGTGTATTTTATGTTCAGGGCCATATATCAACACGTAGGGTGGGTGCGCACAGTGGGGAGGGGAAGGAGTGTGGGGAATGTGTGGCTAGAAGGGGGAAATAAACCAAAGAAAACATCAGAGGGCCTTAAAGGACTAATTACGATGGGATGGCCATTTGCTACAAACTGGGTATAAATCATGGAACTCTGGACCTGAAGCCCTAATAATGTTACTTTAAAATTGGTGATAATTGTACCTACCTCACGGTCTCAACATGGAAGGCTCTGTAAAGTTTTGCAAATGAACTTTAGCGATTCTGTGTGTCTCTGACATTCTCTCAGGACTCATCCCTTTTAGCCTCCAAGCCTTTACTCAGGCCGTGTTGAATGTTGTCCTTACGCTGACTTCTCTACCTCTCCAACCCTGCCATCAGGTTTCTTCAACGACCACGGACTCTCATGATGGCAGCCTGTGAAGCCTTGGGGACTTTTCATTTGGGGCTTGAACCCAGAGCCAGAGTGTCATAGAGCCGTGAGGAGCAAGTCCTATTTCCTCTTCACAAACTTCCCCAAGGGTCTTCTTACAGCCCACCCCCCACCTCAGTTCCCACCCCACTGCTCCCAGGCAAGACAGGCAGACCAAATCTGAAAGTGTTGGATGTGGAAGGGAACAGCTTTTATTGGGTGCCTATCATGTGCTGGACCCAGCACTAAGGTCTTGACTTTTGTTAGTACCCAGAACCACCCTGTGAAGTGGGAGGGGCGCACCTCATCAACAGATTAGGGAATGGAACTCACCAAGAGGTGAGAACACTAACCGGACAGGAGCCCTAGGTCTGTCTGGCTCCAGATCCAAGACCTGAACAAGCAACTTGTTCAGAGTCTTAGGGCCAGGACTGGGACCCCGATCACCTATTTCTGACTTAAGTGCCAGTAGAGAAAAACCTCTCTTTCACACTGATGATCCAATTTCTGCCATCAGGGGAGGGGCGACCCTGCCATTTAGAGCCCTAAAAAGACCCTCGACGCTATTTAGTATGGTTAGTTTGAAGTAATATCTAGGGAGAAATAGGAGATTCCCTCAAGTTTCTTCCCCTTCTTTGAACCTCAGTTTCTCAAAGCGTAAAACAGGAGGAACAGCGGTCTGTGGGCTCTGGGAATTCTTTTCTCAGTCCGCCAGCAGGTGGAGCCCACCCGTCATCCCTCCCTTGGCCTCCAGAAAGCTGCGGGAGTCGCGGGAAAGACGAGTTGTCCTGGGGCCGCGCCTGGGGTTAGTGGGACAAAGCAGGGCGCTGTCCAACCGGGTCTGGCCGAAGGGCCTGCTGAACCCCAGGCGACTGCCCAGGACTTTAGGGTCCCGCCTCCTGCAGGACATTCTCGGTATTGCAGGGCCTGGAGCCCCGAGGGTAGGGACGGACACCCCGGGGAGTGGAGGCCCGCGTCCGGTGCGAGGGGCGTCCCAGGGCCCGGGATCCCACAGGCGGGAGTGCAGGTGTGTCCCCACCGACCGCATGGGCTGCGGCTACAGGTAGTTGTCCTCAGCTGCGTCGCCCCCGCCAGGGGAGTCCCGGGCCTCCTCGTCCGTGCTTTCGTCGTCGGGGGCCAGCGCCTCGATGTCGTGCGTGATGTCGGCCAGCAGCCGGTGGAAGGCCTGCGCCTCGGGCCGCTGGGCCGCGCCGTCGTAGCTGCGTACCGCCGACGCCGACGTGGAGCTCATGCTGCGCTTGATGCGCCCGAAGCTGTCCGTGAGGATGCCACCCTCGCGGATGCCCACCCCCTCCAGGAAGCCCTCGAAGTAGCCGATGTCCTGGTCCGGGATGAAGGGCCGCATCCCTGCGGGGCCGACAGGCAGGGGGACTCCTCGAGGTTCAGCCCTCCCCCTCCCACACTGGAACCACCTTCTGCAGAGATCTGAGTTCAAATCCCCACCCCGCCGCTGGCTGGCCGTGTGGCCTTGCACAAGTTCCTCGACTCTGCTCCAGAGAATAATGACCTAATGCTCGGCACAAAGTAAATGCTCACTACAGGTTAGCTTGTTACTGTAACAGTTACATTCCCAGTTATTCGTTGTGTGATCCTCATTAAATAGCTACTCCGAGCCTTACTTTCCTCGCCTGTGAAACTGAGATAATTGCACAAGTTCTCCCGGGAGGGATGTGAGGAGGTGCTTAGCACACACACTGAGTGTCCCAGACAAGTCAGCTTGTTTGGCTTCCATCTCTACTCATTAGCTATGCGACTTCAGTACTTTACTTTGCTTCTCTGAGCCTCAGCTTCCACATCTGCAATATGGGGAGCCTCAGTTTCCTCATCTGCAATATGGGGGCAATAAGGTTCTACTTTCCAAAACTGAAGCATTCAATGGGATGATGCTTGACACAGGGTAACTGCAAAATGCCCGTTAGCTTATTAGTACTATCATTCCTGGTGCTATTATTAGCCTTCCTTACCAGCTGTGTGACCTTGGACAAGCTCCCTAGCCTCTGTGAGCCTCAGATGCCCCATGGGGTAAATGGGGAGAATCATCCCCTCACCCAGCTTTGCTATGAAGGTGAATGGTTGTATTAGTGCTCTTCTTAGGCCCTGGGACTGCAAGCAAGTCCATCCTCTGTTCTGCACCTTTCTCCTCAAAAGCACCATGGATTTCTCGATCTTGGCTTTATTGGAGGCTGAAGAATAAGAGTGAACACTTCTAGCCTGATGACTGATAGGGAATGTCATGGACCATGTAGGGGCCTTGGCAGACCTTGGGGGGGGGGGGGCGTGGTGGCAGGTGGCTCACCAAGGAGGAGGAACTTGCGCCGGTCTCCGTAGAGCTTCAGCAGGCCTGCGCAGTAGTCCTGGATGGGCAGCCCCAGCCGGTACTCCCTCAGGAGCACCGCAAACTGCTGGATCTCAGGGGGCCCCAGTTTACTCCGCAACTGTAGGGACAACATTCAAGATCAGTCCCGGGGAGCAAGCCCCACCCAACCTTTGCCTAAAAGACGCAGAGTCCTATCTGTAAGGGTATATTTGGCCAAGACCTCCCTTGAAACCCTCCCATGGCCTACTGGGGGGCATCAAGACCCTCTGGGCTGCATCTAAGCATGTGCTGTGGACTCAAGCTGCCTGAGTTCACATCCTGGCCCCTTGGTCAGCTCTGTGATCTTGGGTACGTGACAACCTCCTTGACCCTTACTTTTCTTATATGTAGTGAAGATAATGGCAGTACCTCCTACTGTGGCCATTAAGAGGATTAAAATAAATGCATAAAAAGTGCATAGAACCATGCCTGATATAGAGCAAACACTCAGTTAATGCTAGCCGATGCTAGCTAAGGCTTTCACAAGCTGGCCTCAGTTTACTCTCCTAACCTCATATCCCGCCCTGATCTTCAACATCTGCTTCAGTTATGTCCAGGATTATTCATGATTCCTGAAATACTCCCTGTGCTTTCTCCAGCCTCCGGGCCTTTGCTTGTGCTGTCCACATTGCCTGCCCCAGCTCACCGTGACCATGTAATCTTGCAACTGCTCGAGGCCCAGGCCGCTGTGGTCACTGCCGCTGCAGTGGGAGCCGTGGAAAGAGGGTGTGGACGTACCACTATAACACGCTTCAAATGTATCCTGGGAGCCATTGCTGCAGAGACAGGCAGAAAGGGGGGCCCTCACTCAGCTCCCTCCAGCTCCTCTCCCTGCAGCAGGTAGAGCTGGGAAGGCACAGCTACTGATGCTCTGGGCCTGAGGCCGCATCCTAGATCCCATTTTGGCCTCCAAGGCCCACATTGTCTGGCCCCGGCTGCCTCTGTTGCCTCATCGCACCCTTGCTCTGCATGCTCAGGCCACTCTGCCTTCTCTCTTCTCCTCTAATACTCCAAGTGCCTCTCCACCCCCGGGCCTTTGCACATGCTGTTCCCTCTAACTCTTATTCATCACTGGAGCTTAAATGTCACCTTCTCGACAAAGTTTTCCCTGACCCCCTCTCCCAATGACTGGGTTAGATCCTCTGTCAAATGTGGTCACAAACCCATAAGTCTAGCCATGACATGAGAGGCCTTTCCAGATCCCCCCATCAATGTCCATGGCCGCCTCTTGGCTTCTCCTCAAATGCACCAAGCTTCATCTTGCTTCAGAATCCTTGCACTGTCTGCCCCTATGCCTGGGGCCCTCTTCCCTTTTCCTCCTCTGGGTCTCAGTTCAAGTGTCATCAGCTCTGAGAGGCCCTCCGGACTCCCCAGATGAGGAAGGCTCCCACGGCCTCTCTCTCAGTACCGTGAGGTGCTTATTCTCTTTCGTGCTTATCATTAATGCTTATTTCTATTAAATCATGATTTCATTGTCTCCTGTACTAGACACTGTGCTTGTGCCATAAACCATGCAAAAGCAGGGACGTTGCTTTCTTCCTTGTTAAGTACCTGCCCTGTGCCAAGCACAGGTCTCATCCTTGTCTTGCTCCCCACTGTAACCCTAGCACACAGCACAGTCTCTGGCGCATGATAGGTACTCAGGAAATCTTGCTTAATAAAAACTCAACCTGGGGTACCTGAGTGGCTCAGTCGGTTAAGCATCTGACTCTTGATTTCAGCTCAGGTCACGATCTCACGGTTGTGGGATGGAGCCACACATTGGGCTCCAAGCTTAGCTCGGAGTCTGCTTGGGATTCCCTCTCTCTCTCACCCTCTGCCCCTCCCCCTGCTCATGCACACACACGCTCTCTCTCAAAATGAATAAATAAAATCTTTTTTAGAATAAAAGATTCTCTCTCCCTCTGCCCCTCCCCCTGCTCTCTCTCTCAAAAAAAAAAAAATTTTTTTTTTACCTAAAATAAAGATCAACCTGCCTCCTGGTTTCTAAATTGTTCCAGAACCATCTTGCGTTATTACCTACAGAAAAGCAGGATAGCATAGTGGTTAGGGGATGTGGACCTGGAGCTAGCCTGCTCAGGTTCAAACCTCAGGCCTACAACTTACTAGCTGCTTGACCCTGAGCAAGCTGCTTAGCTTCTCTATTCCTCAGTTTCTCCATCTGTAAAGTGGGATGACAAAAACTGATGTCACAAGAATTAGAGGAATCTATTCATATGGCACTTAGAGTCATGGACTACAAGCAATAAATAAACAATAGCCACTGTAATGTTGCTACATTGATTTTTTTAAAAAATGCAGCACTTGGGGGCACCTGGCTGGCTCAGTCGGTAGAGCATGTGACTCTTGATCTTGGGCTCATGAGTTCAAGCCCCATGTTGGGGGTAAAGTTTACTTGAAAAAAAAATGAAGTGCTTTATCGAACAGCACTAGGCACACAGCAAGCTCAAAGGTTAGTCATTATCATGATTGCCATCTCTCCGGGGGATATCATCAGGTTGTTTAAGGACTGGCCCAAGAGCACACAGTATTAAGAAGGCGAATATAGGGCGCCTGGGTGGCTCAGTTGGTTAAGCGACTGCCTTCGGCTCAGGGCATGATCCTGGAGTCCCTGGATCGAGTCCCGCATCGGGCTCTCTGCTCGGCAGGGAGCCTGCTTCTGCCTCTGACCCTCCCCGCTCTCATGTGCTCTCTCTCATTCTCTTTCTCTCAAATAAATAAATAAAATCTTTAAAAAAAAAAAAAAAAGAAGGCGAATATATTGCCACCAAAGAGGAAAAAAAAAAGTAAGGCGTATATTACTGGCAGAGATTGCTACCTGTCAAGTCTAGACCTTAGCAGAACCAGCATGACCCACTTGTTCCAGTTTGCCTAGGACTTCCCTGGTGTTTGTACTGAAATTCCCATGTCCTGGGAATCCCCCCCCCCCCCCCCCCCAGTGCTGGAGGCAGGGGTTGGTCATACTAAACAGAACCCTGGACAATGTTCCCAGGTGGGTTTGTTAATGCGGCACTCCCAGACTTGCGGGCAGCTCGTGGTGGCCATGTGACCAAGTTCTGGCCAATGCAACACAAGCAGAGGCATGAGGTGGGACTCCCAGCAAAGCTCTTTACTGAGCCCCCTGGCAGGCCACTGCGATGACTGGAGCTATGACCATCATCTTGGTCCATGAGGTGACTTTGAGGATGGGAGCAAGCGCCAAGGAGTGGGGAGAAGAGAAGCCTGGACCCCTGCTGACCATAAGGCCATAAACTCCTGGTTTATTTTATAAAGAAATAAGGTGGGAAAAAGCTATCTTGTTTAAAGCTCTATCTTTTTTTAGGGTTTTCTACTATATGGAATTAAAACTAAAGTAAACCAAAATTATTTTTTGATATTAGCTGTGGTTTGGGCTCTGCAGGCCACTGTGTCTGGATGACGAGCAGAGATCTGCAGGCCTACATGGGCCCAGTTCTGGGTTCTGGCTCTCCCCTGGGCCTGTCAGAGTCTGGGTCTGGATCCTCTGAGCTCACTGAAGCCCACAGAGATCAGTTTACCTATGCCCTCCCCCCACCAGGGCCCAGGGCATCAGCACAAATCGAGGTGAGGTCATCTTCTCCCACCCTCTCTTGCCCACGGGGGGCTCAAGAATGCCCAGAAGAGTGACCCGGTTTGTGCAGGGGTGTAGGAGGGGGGCAGGGTGGTACCCACAAGGAGCTGCAGCAGCTGAAGTCGGCGTCGTAGGCGTAAGTCCCATCCGTGCGGCAGCTCTCACCTGGGGTCAGGAGACAGAGGGGCGGTTAGAGGCAGCAGACCAGGGACCAACACCCCCAGCTCCCTGAGGCCCCAGCCTCAGCCCCTCCCTGTGGTTGGGATGGTGGCTGGAGCATGGATGACCTTGTAGGCAACCGTAAGCGTGTTAGCTTTTACCCTGAGTGAAATTAGGCAGCCACTGGAAGATTTTGACCATGATTCCTACCCCCACCACCAACACACAGCCAACCCTGGGCAACTCACCTCCTCTCTCCTGGCCCTCAACTTCCCCAAGGTTGGGACAATACCACCTTCCTGCCTGCCTCATGGGGGTCTTGGGAATAGCAGGTGAGGAAACAGGTGAGGTAATGTTTTGAAAACTGTGTTTGAGGCAAGGAAAAAAAAAAGAACTTTGAGGGAAAGAACCTCAAATCTTGAGAGGATAGAAGCACCATTTACAGAGGACTTGCTCTCTACCTAGCCCTGTTACCTCTCTGAATCCACTAACCTTACCCTTCTGATCTTGGCTCACTCAGTGTCACTTCCCCACCACACCCCCCTGACTTCCCAGGTGAGGCCGGTTCCTCAGTCTGTGTTCTCAGAGTACAACATGTGGCTACATTTTCCTTGTGTAACTATGTAATTACTGTGGGCTACCTCAGCAAAGCAAGCCTTGTGAGAGCAGGGCCACGTCTGGTTCTGCTCCCCGGTACATCCTGCTGATAGCAGATGCTTCAGTAAATATTTGTTGAATAGAATGAATTTGTTGAAATACTTGTTGACTTATCTCATTAATTTACCCATCATCCTGTGAGAGTTGATGAACCATCCCAACTTCCCAATAACCGCAGTTCCCACGGATGGGAGCGCCTCCAGGAGGAAAGAGCTCTGTTGCTGGAGCTATGCAAACAGGGAGCACACTGAGGGGGCTGTGACTGAGGAAAGTCACTTAGTGGCCTGGAAAGTAGCATGGGAGGATCTGCAGGTAGAAGCTTTAGAAATCAGACAGAGCTGGGTTTGAATCCCGACTCTCCCACTTACTCGCTGAGTAAGACCCTGAGCAATTTATTGACTACTCTGAGCCTTAATGTCCTCATCGATAAAACTGGAATCATAAGGCTTCAGAGAGTTCTTTCATCTACTCAAAAAACACTTGTCGAGCATCTGTGGTGTCCCTAGTCCTGTGCTAGGCACAGGGGATACAGTGGCAAATAGGACCCGACAAGGTCGCTATGGGGATTAAATAAGACTTGGCACATTGGTACTGTGCTTGGCACATAGTTGGTGCTCAATAAATGCCTCTATTAGCTCATTCTCATTCTAGCCCTTGATTGCATTCAAGGGTGGGTCTGGAAATCTTGGTTTTGACCTAGATTCCTAGTGGAGCTAGACAGCTCAGTCAATAGACAATGCATGCGCCTGGATTTCTGCAAAGCAAGGACATCAAAAATGAAAGCGGGGGAAAAAGTTCAGCTTTGAGGGGCTCATTCTGAATCTGGCAACCAGAATATCTGTGAAGAAGCTAAGTTTGAGGTCATAATGAAAACTGACATTTTATTTTAACTACATAAGGGCAGCAGGGTTGGGGGAGGACACTGTAATTGTGGTAGAGATCAGGACCCCTAAAGGCGTTCATTGGCCCTGAGTCCTGGGGCAGCCCCCCTCCCCGGCCTTTGGGATGTTTCACAGCGGGGGGCGGGGGGCGGGGGGCAGCCAGTTCCAGTACTCACTGCGACTGCAGAGCCACGGCCGCTCGGGCGTGGACGTGTAGTGGTAGCCAGCCCGGTCCACGCACTCAATGCTCTGGTCCCCGTAGATGATCTGGAAGACCTGACAGATGAGGGCACAGGACTCCTCGGCAGCATCCTGGCCCAGGGAGGAGGACAGAGCGCTCAGGCCTCTCCAGTGCTCAGGACACCCCTGCCCCCTTAAACAGTGTGAGGAGGCTCGGAGGGCCACACACACACCTATGGGCACCTTTAAATCAACTTGGAGGGCATTCCCCATCAAAATTGTATGGCCATCCTCTGGATCTTGAACTCTGTAATAGAGTCCAGCAGCAACTCTGTCTTCTGCTCTGAAAAATGCATCCCAGATTTCTAGGGGATTCATAGGACCTTCTAAAGTTTATCTAAAATAAGCCCTAGGGGCACCTGGGCGGCTCAGTTGGTTAAGCATCCAACTCTTGATCTCAGCTCAGGTCTCTATCTCACAGTCATGAGTTCAAGCCCAATGTTGGGCTCCATGCTGGGTGTGGAGCCTATTAAAAAAAAATAATAATAATAAAATAAAATAAAATAAAATAAGATAAAATAAGCCCTAGTTTAAATTCCGGTAGGAAGTTGAGGCTCAGAGAGGTGAAATGATTAGCCAAGACTAGAACCCAGGACTCCTGATACCTACTAGGAGGAGGAAGAATTACATGTATGAAAATTTTAGGCTCAACATAGTTACTACTACTGGATGCCATATTTAGATATGAGCTTTCTGGCACCCAGGGCAATAATGGAAGTAGGATGAATACATAAACTTCAGTCTCTGATAGGAGGCAGGAATTTCAATTCTTGGGTGAAAGTTTCTTGAGACTGCAAATTTGAAGAGGAATTTGCCTTTCTAATTTACCTCTTTATGTCTTTTTTTTTTTAAGATTTTATTTATTCATTTGAGACATAGAGATATATATAGAGAGAGAGAAAAAAAAAAAGCATGAGCAGGGAGAGAGGCAGAGGGAGAGGGAGAAGCAGGCTCCTCGCTGAGCCAGGAGCCCGATGTGGGGCTCGATCCCAGGACCCTGGGGTCATGACCTGAGCCAAAGGCAGACACTTAACCATGTGAGCCACCCAGGTGCCCCTACCTCTTTATGTCTTTAAGCAAGAGATTCAGAAAGACAATCACTGATGAGACCATCTTCATGGTACCATTTCCTATTTTGTGCCTCTAAAAAGCCCGGGGTATGAATTAAAATGTAACCCAGGAGAGGCAGGATTGATCCTTACAATAACCCTACAAAATAGACAGGGGAGAGAGTATCCTTCTTTTATAGTTAAAAGCACTGAGGCTTAGAGTGGCTAGGTGACTCTTCCAGCTCACACAGCAAGTTCTTAGCATTAATTACTATTGGCACTCAGGTTTTTTGATTCTAACTCCTGTGCCCTCCTTGGGACCACAAGTCCTTGGATAGGAGGCCAGAGAATCAGATACTCCTGAAAAACAGCTCTTCATAGGATAGGACTAATTCTCATTTAGCCCTATTTTAGGCACTGGGCCAGACTCTGAGGTCTCAGGGGTGAATTAGATGAGGTCTGTACCCTCAAGCCCTCACGGTCCAGTGAGATAGACAGGGAGCACTGTTCCCTCTGCTTGGAATTCATTTTCCTACCAATTCACCTTGCTGACTCCTTCCTCCCCTTCACATTTCAATTTAAAAGGCACAAACTCACTTTCTCTATGGAAAATGGATCTCCTCCCTCATTTCACTGCAATCTGTTTGTTTTCTTCTTGGTCCCCATCACAAGGTATAGGAATATAATACGCATCACTTCATCCATTCATTCAATATTTATCACGTGCCAGGCACTGTTTTAGGTGTCAGAGATACCATAGTGAACCATCCAGAATGCACAGGTCTCTTGGCACTCTACAAGGAGACCAGTCTGGCTGGAATGAAGTGCAGAAAGGGGGACCTAGAAAGAGATGAGGCCAGAGAGGAAATGGGCTTTAGCCACCACGATAAGGTGGGAGGCCTTATAAGCAGTTGTAAGGACATTAGCTCTTACTCTGAGTGAAATGGGGAGCCACGGCGAGATTTTGAGCCGTGATATGATGAGACTTATGTGTTAACGGGACTGCTCTGACTGTGGGGGGATCAGGTTATAAGCAAGAGCCGAATCTGTGGTCTAAATGCATGATCTGGATGATAGAAGATGGGGCGTGGACCTGGGTCGGGACAGTGGAGGGTGGGGAGAAGTACATAGGCTTGGGATAGATTTTAAAAATAAGGCAAACAGGATTTGTTGATGGAATGGATATGTGTTGTGTGAGAGCAAGATGAGTCACAGATCACTGCCAGGTTTTGATCTGCAGGAGGGAAGGACAGAGCTGCCATTAATCAACACAGGGAGACCAAGGGAGGAGCAGGTTTGGGGGAGAAGATTGGGCGCTTAGCTTTGGATGTGTTAAGTTTGAGATGGTCATTAGCCCACCGTATGGAGAGGCCGATTGGAGAAACATGCCTGGAGATTTGCTGAGAGATAAAATTTGGAGTTCTCAGTGTTTTAAATGCCATAAGACTGTTTTGTTCACTAGGGTACTACAGGGTGGGGGGAGGGGTTGGGGGCCCTGGGCCAGAGGAAAAGTTTAGACAACTCAGGACTTGATGGTGTCTGCTAGATTGAGCTCCCGAAGGGAGGGCACTAAATATGTCTTTGCTCATCTCTGCATCCATAGCACTTAGCCCAATGCCTAGGACAAAGCTGGTGCTCAGTAGAGATGGTCAAATGAATAAAAGCAAGGGTGAATATGGACAATGGGGGCGAGGGGAGGAAAGGCAACAATGGAAGGCTTCTGCCTTGGATGACTGCCATAGTTAACAAGAGTACAGGCTTGAGGGCGCCTGGGTGGCTCAGTCGGTTAGGCGACTGCCTTCGGCTCAGGTCATGATCCTGGAGTCCCGGAATCGAGTCCCGCATCGGGCTCCCTGCTCGGCGGGGAACCTGCTTCTCCCTCTGACCCTCCCCCATCTCGTGCTCTCTCTCTCTGTCTCATTCTTTCTCTCAAATAAATAAATAAAATCTTTTTAAAAAATAAAATAAAAAATAAAAATAAAAATAAATAGGGCGCCTGGGTGGCTCAGTTGGTTAAGCGACTGCCTTCGGCTCAGGTCATGATCCTGGAGTCCCGGGATCGAGTCCCGCATCGGGCTCCCTGCTCGGCAGGGAGTCTGCTTCTCCCTCTGACCCTCCTCCCTCTCATGCTCTCTGTCTCTCATTCTCTCTGTCTCAAATAAATAAATAAATAAAAATCTTAAAAAAAAAAAGAGTACAGGCTTGAACTTCCCTGGTCTCTGTTGAAACCACCGCCTGGTTCCTGGGTGACCTTCCACGAGTTACTTAGCCTCTGGATCTCACTTTCCTCCTCTCTAGAATGAGGAGGCTTGTAATGTTTGCCTCTAGGGGTAGTGAGAGAATGAAATGTGTTAATGCTGGTTCCTTGCCTGGCATGTGTTGGCATTCCATTCGTGCTGGTAATGAGTGTCCCCTGATTGCTACCGTGGTAGTGCGGACATTGACAAGGCGGGAGAAAGCAGGGCTGGAGGAGGGGTTCGATCCCGTCTGTTTGGGCTGTTTTGAGTTTCCATCCCATTGGGATGGCAAGGGGGAGGTGTCCAGGCCGGGGATTAGAAGCCCTTTGGCGTCGTGGATACACAGGTAGTACCTGAAGTCCTAGGTAGGGCCTCAGGAGGGGGAAGGAAAGACTCCAGGAACGGAGCGGGCTGGGGTGGAGAGCGACGCCTTCCAACCCCGGACGCGGCCGGGAGGCGGGGCGCGGGGGCTCCGGGTGCCCTCGGGCTCACCCTGTTGGCCACAGCCAGGATGACAAGGTTGCAGTAGGCGTCGGGGCTGGGGTCCTGCGGGTCGAGCGGGTTGGAGCCCGGGTGGCGCCGCTCCCAGCTGCCGCCGCCGCCGCCGCCCGCCTGCCTCCGCTCCCAGCTGCCGCCCGGCTTGCCCGCGCCGCCGCCGCCGCCGCCGCCGCCGCCGCCGCCGTGCCTCCGCTCCCAGCTGCCGCTGAACGTCTGCCGCCGCTCCCAGCTGCCCGACGCCCGCGCCCCGGCGCGCTGGCGCTCCAGGCTGCCGCCGCCGCCGCCCCCGGCCCGGGCCTCTGCGCCCGCGCCCCCGCCCCACGCCATCCGCCAGTCCAGGCTGCAGATGGTGTGGCGCCGCTCCGTGGTGCCCCCCCGCCGCTTCTCGGGCGCCGCGCCCGGCGGGCCCGGGTCGCGCCCTGCGCCGCCGGGGCTGGCGTCTACGCCGGCTGGCACCGGGTCCACGCCCAGACCTAGGAGAGGCGGGACGGCGGTCAGGAGATCCGGGCTAAGAGCCCCCTCCCGAGACCAGCTGCGGACCAGCGGCGCCTGGCCCCACGTCTGCCTTCAAAGTCTCGAGGCCAGATCCGCCCCCCGCGTTGTCCTTACTTTTGGGGCCCGCCCCCGGCCTCGGCTCCACCCTAGTCTTGCTTGCGGTCTGACCTGTCCCCCCATCACTCCAGCCAGGAGCTCCGCCTCCTCGGCATATGGTCACGCCCCCAGCTCAGACTCCGCCCCTCGCCCGAGCTCTGGGCGCGCCTCTGTCTTGCTCAGCTTCACCGCGCGCTTTAACTTCAAGTCCCAGAATTTGGGCTCCTCCAGCCTTCCCAGCCCCGCTACCTGGCCTCAGGCTGGTGGCTCAAGCCGTCCACCCTTCAAACTCAACCTCAACCTGGGCCCGCGTCTTCTTGCGTATGGCCATGGCCTGCTCTTAGTCTCGGGGTGGTGTGGTTGGCCTTTTCCATCACACACCATCCACCCTCAGCAACCCACCCCCTCCCCACCCCAGGTCATTCCTTTCCCAAAACTAGACGCTGGGCCCTTTCTCTCCGCGTTCACCTCCCGGCCCTGCCCCGCCCGCTGTACCGGTCTTAAGCACCAGCAGGTGCAGCGCGTCGTCCTGCAGGTAGGAGGCGGCGGCGATCTCATGCGTGGGGATACGCAGGATTAGCTCCTCGTTGTCGCGCCAGGTGAGCAGCAGGCAGCGGGCCGACAGGCTCAGGATACTGTCCTGCTCCGCTGTGGTCTTCAGCGGCAGCTCCTTCAACTGCTGCAGGGGGTTCGGATCTCTTGGGTCCCCGAGGGGCTCGGGTGGGAGAGGAAGAAGAGGACAAGACCCAGCCCTAACCCTCCCCAGGGCCTCACCCTGGCCGTGTCCAGCAGCTGCAGGAGCTCGTCGCGGCTGGAGGGGTTCAGTGAGGAGGTAACCCAGGTGAGGTGGCCCAGGAACTGGACAGGAAATGGGAGGTAGGGGTGGGAGAAGGGCACAGAGAGGTCACCTTGAAGCCTTGGATAACCCAGAACCCCTCACTGACCCAGTGAATATAGACTGAAGTAGAAATACCTGAATTGATCATAACCTGATGATAGCTATTAAGGTGGTCACAGAAGCCAGACCCCAAAAAATGATGCCCCAAATCAATATAATAATTCTTCATTCTTAGTTAAAACTTAATGTCATCCCGAACTTTAATGTTATTCAATGTAAGAAATTAACTTTATTTTTAGTTTTGTTCTTCTAGGTGAATTCCACCAATCAAACCTTTTTCTTCTTTTATTCTCTATGAAATTTCAGTCCCCAATATTTAAGTGGATTTATTAGTTAGCTTTAGCCCTCCATATATGGTAAAATACAAGACGCCAGTTAAATTTGAATTCCACATAAACAGTGAATACTTTAAACAAAATTTTTTAAAGTATTTTTAGTCCCATGTAGTATTTAGGACATATTAATACTAAACAAGTACTCGTTGCTTTTCTGAAATTCACACTTAACTGGGCAGCCTGTTTTTGCCAAATCTAACACTCCTACCCCCATATCAATCTTCCTTGGGTAATGAGCATTCTCCATTGCTCCTTCATGGTGCTCATGAAACAGTAGTAAAACCCTTGAGGGACCTTAGTCCCCTCTGGCTTGCTGAACTGGGTTCCTATAACAAGTTCATATGAGTAGCAACAACATTACTGTGGTAAAACCTCACAGGAAGGTATGGCTTTTCCCATCTGCTCTCTCCTGTGAGTAGGTTTTGAGCCCTGTGTTGAAATGGAAACACTGAGGCTGAGTGGGTGGAGGTCATTTGCTGAGGGTCCACAGCATAAGGCAGGAGTTGGCTGTCATGAACCCAAGTCTCTTTGCTCTGAGCCTCCCCTGTGTGAGACCGGGCTGGTCAGGGCTTGGTGTGAGAGAGAGGTACAGTCTCTCCTGATGGGATCCAGAACACACTACCCCCAAATATGGCACGTTGGCATATTGAATATCTTAAGCTTGAAGGAGTTGAAGAAAATGGTAGAAGCAGGAAGGTTACTCTGACCTTCCCCCACCCCTCTTCCCCAAAAGCAGGAGAAAAATCTCCCACCTGAAAAGTACCCTCCCTGTACCTGGAGGGAGACCTCCTCTCACCAGACACAGGGAATTTAGGGCTGAGAAGGCTGTAAAAACAAACCTTGTTATTTCTTCACCTTTTACTCCCCTAGCCCAAACCCTTCTGCCTTGTCAGCTCTTCATAAATTTAGTGTCAAAAAGATATAAAAGCTTCCTGCTCTGGTCACTTCTTTGGGTCTTCATTCCCCTGTGAAAGCTCTCATGGACATGTAACCATTTAATAAAATGTGCACACTTTTCTCCTGTTCATCTGTGTTTGTTGGCCTCATTTTCAGACCCAGCCAGGGACCCTAAGAGAGTTAAGGAAAACCTTACCCCTCCTTTACTCCTCACCCCAAGATTCTGCCCACCCTTCTCCTCACCCTACACATACCTTGACCTCTTTCTCCAGATAGTCACACAGCAGAATCTGAGGGTCGATGAGGTAGTCAGGGGGGTAAAGGGGCATCGAGTGCAGGGGCCGGCGACTCACACTGGTCCGAAAGGCAGCCCGGCGCCCAGCCTTGGGGAACACCAGCCTCCGGATGGGGGATACAAAGCCCTGGGGGGCGGGAGGCAGGGAGATGTGGGGGGGAACAACAGTAACAACAGCAACTGGCTTTATTGAGCACTTCCGCATTCGGCATTTTACTTACTTACCTAGTACCTAATTTAATTCTCATAGACTCTGCAGAAGGGGTACCTCTGTGATCCCCATTTTACAGATGGAGAAACTAAGCCTCAGAGAGATTCCCTCTCTCGGTGTGTCTCTCTCTGTCAAATAATTAAAATCTTTAAAAATAAAATAAAATAAACACCCAGGTGAGGGCAGAGGGCGTGCTAAGGCCCAGGCCCAGGCCCAGACTGAAGGACTGGGGCAAGTAAGAAAAATATTAAGAGTCAATGTGGCTCAGTGGTGAGTGCACAGGTATTTGTCATGCTATTCTCTGTGCTTTCCCCCAAATTAGAAATGGCCAGTAAGTACGTTTAAGGAGAATCCAGCAGACACCTGCACAAAAAATGGCCTACAGCAAGATTCAAGAAGCCAGTTCTAGACTCCAATGCAGCCCAACAGAATCTAAATCTCGCAGGAAAGTGTGAGCACCATTTTAGAGCAGTTCTCTGTGAATATGGCTCCTGGGTCAGCAGTGGCAGCACTGAGGAACTTAAGAGAAATGCATATTCTCCCATTCCATCCTAGATCTACTGGATCAGAGCTTGGGTGTGAAACCCAATGATCTATGTTTTAACAAGCACTCCAGGTGATTCTGATACAGGCCCAGCTCATATTTTAAAACCAGTATCTTGGAGCCTAGATGAAGTATCTGGAAGCTCTGAGAAATGAGAACAAATGATCTGGGAAAGGGTATTCCAGGCAGATGTTCCAGGCACATATTTTGCACGTGCAAACCCCTGGGGCTGGCTGAGCATGAGCCTGGGGAAGATGCACGTGGTCTATTGCAGCTGAATGATGAGATGAATGAGCCATAGAGGGCCTGAATGCCAGCTATGGAGCTGGGACTTGATTCTGTGTATGTGAGTGTGTGTGTGTGTATGGAGTGGAGAGCTAAATGTTTTGTCTGTGGCCTTTAATGATCCAGCCCTGCCCACCTCTCCAGCCTCATTTTATGCACCCCCGCACTGCCCCACCCCGCCCCTTGCTCCTGCCCTCCAGCTACAGGGCCATCTTTCCAGTCCTCCCTACTTGCTCTGTTCCTTCCCATTGCAGAGCTTTTGCACATGCTGTTCCTCTGCCTGAAATGCTCTTCCCTACTCCCTTTTCTTCCACCCATCAGATCTCAGCTCAAACTGACCAGTCTAGGGTTAGGTCCCCTAATATTCTATATCCCAGCACTGTGTATGGAGTCTCTTATGCAATTTTATATTCATTGCTTTTTTAAAAAAGAATTAAGAGTTGCTTTCCCCACTAGAATGTGAGCTCCAGGGAGGGAGCGGAGACCTTGTCTGACTTTGCTCACCACTGTATCATCACCAGTACCAGGCACCATGCTTGGCACATAATAAGGGTTCAGTAAATATCTAGAGAAGGGATAAACCCAGAGAGAAGCAGCACTATGTCTTGACTCTCTTCTGAGCCCTCATGATTCACATGGGAGCCCTTTAGACCAGCCTGACCTCAGTTTCTTGGAGGAAGAGAGCTGGGTGGCGGTGGGAGTTGGAATCTGAGGGACCCCCTGAATAGCAAAGACAACCAGGTGAGGTGCCCAAGGAACCAGACTAGAAAACTGACGGTAAGGAGGGGTGAGGATCTATGGGGTAAGGGGGATGACCCTCAGGCTGAGGCCTTCGGAGAAGAGCTGTTCTGGCATAAAGATGGGGAGGGGGCAGGCTAGGCTGGAACCCAGCAGGGGAGCAGGTAGGTGTCTCAACCTGGATAGGCAGCTTTATAGCACAGAATTGCCCTGGCTGAGCTCCTTCTGTCGGGGGAGGTAAGGAGCAGGGGAATGTGTCTATTCTGTGTTTGTCTCTCAGTGTGAGGAGCCCCCAGGAAAGCCATGGAAGCAGGTTGGTAGTATCTCCCAAAACAATCTGGCTGGCTGGGTTTCCCCGGAAGGTGCCTGTCTGTCTATTCATTCCAGGGATGGCAGACGCCGCTTGTGAGTGGGGAGACAGGTTAGGGAGCTTGAGTCCAAATGTCTGACTGCCCAAGGGTGGGAAGGACAGTCTTTTCTGATGAGAAGAAAGACTCTACGCATGCCACTCACTGCCCCTCACCCCCACCCCAGGCCTCCCACTTTACCAGCTCCATGGACATTTCTTTCCCCCGCATCCCTCCCAACTTCCCACCTACCTTTTTCCCTTTCTTGACTTCATATTCCATGGTGAAGCGTCTCCTCTACTCTTGCCACCCTCCTGACCATCTCCTCCACCCTCTCCCCCCTACGCAGTTCCTTTGTTCTTTTTCCTGCCTGGTCGGAAACTCCACCAGCCCCGGAGTTCCTGCCGCTCCCGTCTGATAGTGAGCAGAGGTGGGGGGCCGGAGGCGAGTGGAGGATGCAGGCTTGGGCCCCTCCAGCTGAAGAGTGGAAGGAAGCCCAGCCAGAACAACCTACCCGGGGAGAAGGCCTCAAGCCTCCCTCCAAAAGACTTGCTGTTGAGGGGGCTTGGGAACCGAGTAAGGCTGGGGAAGGGCCCCCCAGTTTGGAGTCTGAGAATCCCGAATTCCAACCGTACTTCTGCCACTGACCTTGTTGTGTGACCTTGGCAAGACAAGTAATTCGCTCTTGTACAGCCTCGGTTGCCCCCTCCTCTCTATGAAGTAGGAATAAACATCGCCTCCCTCTCTGGCTGCTGTGGTGAGAAATAAATACAAGAGTGGATAGGAAAATGCTTCCTAAACTATAGAATATTGTGTCCAAGCAAGTTATGATTTTAAAAATTAATCATTACCATTAAGGGAGGCAGTATTCATAGGGTTCGAGGATAGGTTGCCTGAGTTTGAATCCTGATTTTATCACTTACTAGGGTGATGACCTTGGGCAAGTCCCTTACCCGCTTGTTTCCCCATCTATAAAATGGGCATAATAGCAGTCTGACCTCATGGTGACCTTGTAAGGATTAAATGCACTTAGAAGAGCTCCTGACACATATGAAATGCTCAATAAATGTTAACTATTTACCTATCTATGTGTCTGTGTGTCCTGGGCTGTTTTACCGTCTCTTGGGAGAATATTAGTGAGGCGAGTTTCCCTTTGTGATTCTGTGCTGAGCACTTTACATATTTCATCTCTCTCATTCCTTACAATATTGGAGTATCATTATACCTATTATACAGATCAAAAAATCAGGCTCAACTGCAGAGGCTGACCCAAAAAAGTCATCAAGTTTATAAGAGGAGGACCTGGGATTTCTGGCCAGTCTGGATCTGAAGCCTAGCTCCTTACCTCTAGGGCCAGCGTGCTCAGCATATCCCACCCAGGACAGTTGGGAAGGTTCCGAATGACCCATCCACACCTTGCCATGACACCTGGGTTCTGGAAGCCCTAGTTCTGGAACTGATTTGCTATATGATCTAGGGCAGTTTGCTTATTTTAACATTTCTGGGCCTCAGCTTCCTCATCTTTCCAATGGGAACAATGATCCCAAATGCCCTGCCCTGTAGTCAGCGGTGTGGTGAGAAAGACATCGGACTATGGATGAGAAAGCAGCTGGAAATTGTGAAGTGCAGGAGCCAATGCACTGGATTGTTTTGAAAGTTTCTTCTGAAAGCACAGGTGTGCAGAAAGAAAGAGAAAGAAAGAAAGAAAGAAAGAAAGAAAGAAAGAAAGAAAGAAAGAAAGAAAGAAAGAAAGAAAGAGAAAGCAGGTACAAGTGTTCCAGGTCAGTGCCCATTGGAGTGAAAGAGAGCTCCCCACTGCCTCTGGGTGTGGGGGCCTCTGGAGCCTCCAGCCACACGCCTTCCCCCCTTCCCCCCTCCGGGGGAGGGGAAATGGTCCAGGCTGCTTAGTGCTGGCTCACAGAGCCCCTCCCTGCTGCTCCCCTGTATCGGGGAGGCTGTCGCAGCAGCAGGAAGTGAGATCTCCACCAGCATGCCAAGCCAACAGGAAGAGGCCAGGATGTGCAACCTAATCCCTGACTGCTCCAGACACCAAAACTCCCACTTAACTCCTTGAGCAAGTGCCAAGTTCCTCAGTTTCCCTATCTGTAAAAGGAGGACTTCTGTTATTCCTGAACTAACTCCAAGTATCACTGAACTGCTGGGAATATCAAATAGGACAAGAAGCATTCGGAATGCTGCTAGAAATAGCAAACTCTCTTTGCATAACCTGCAGTGCCCACCCCAGGGCCACGAACAGGTCAAGTGCTTAGTAAATGTCAGTGGAAGTAGGTGGAGACAGGTGGACATAGGTTCAAATGTGTATGACCTTGAACAGGTGATTTCTCAGAGCCCCAGAGTCTTATGTGTCAAAAGCAAGATAATGATGATGCTTGCCTCATAAGGCTGCTGCAGGGATTAAATGGGAATAGAAGCATATACGATGGTAACATGATGATTAAAATTGGCTTGTGAGGATAAAGAAGAAGTTGTATATATGTATGTATATACAAATTCATACACAACACACACAACACACACACACACACACAATGGAATAATCCTCAGCCATAAAAACGAACAAAAACTTGCCATTTGCAACTATGTGGGTGGAACTAGAGGTATTATGCTAAGTGAAATAAGTCAATCAGAGAAAGACAAATACCATATGATTCCACTCATATGTGGAATTTAAGAAACAAATGAGATGAACATAGGGGAAAGAAAAAAAGGAGAGAGGAAAACCATAAGAGACTCTTTTTTAAAAAGATTTATTTATTTGAGAGAGAGAGCGCGCTCACACTCATGCACGTGTTGGGGGAGGGGTACAGGGGGAGGGAGAGAATCCCAAGCAGACTCCCCACTGAGTGCAGAGCCAGACGAGGGGCTCAACCCCACAACCCACAACCGTGAGATCATGACCTGAGCTGAAATCAGAGTCAGATGCTTAACTGACTGAGCCAGCCAGGCACCCCAAGAGACTCTTAACTATAGAGAAAAAACTGAGGGTTGCTGGAGAGAAAGTGGGGGGGATGGGCTAAATAGGTGATGGGTATTAAGGAGGGCACTTGTGATGAGCACTGGGTATTATATGTAAGTGATGAATCACTAAATTCTACTCCTGAAACTAATATTACATTATATGTTAACTAACTAGAATTTAAATAAAAACTTGAAACATTAAAAAAAAATTAGGGGGGGTGCCTGGGTGGCTCAGTCGTTAAGCGTCTGCCTTCAGCTCAGGTCATGATCCCAGGGTTCTGGGATCGAGCCCTGCATCGGGCTCCCTGCTCCACGAGAAGCCTGCTTCTCCCTCTCCCACTCCCCCTGCTTGTGTTCCCTCTCTCGCTGTGTCTCTCTCTGTCAAATAAATAAATAAAATCTTAAAAAATAATAATAAAAAATAAAAATATATTAGGGGTGCCTGGCTGTCTCAGTCAGTAGGTGTATGACTTTTGATCTCGAGGTTGTGGGTTTGAGCCCTACATTGGATGTGGAAATTATTAAAAATAAAATCTTAAAAAAAATAACTTGTGAATCAAAAAAGAGGAGTAAAACAAAGTCCTTGCTCTCAAAGACTTAACAGTTGTGGCAAATAGGATTCATCTCTTTTGAGACACCTCCAGTGGGTTGGCAGGGGCTGCCTCGAGCTCTATGTAGAAGATTATAAAAACCAGATCTACCCTCAGCATGAAAAAGAGATTGATTATCAACGCCTGCCACGGGACAGGAGGCGGGAATGTGGCAGCAGGTGTACGGCGCGTATGCTGACCCTGATCTGGCTAGAGAGAAAGACACATAAGCAAAAACTCTGAGACATCTCAGCCAAGCAACTTGTTTGGGGAAGGCAGAACCAGGAGCCATTCCACCAAGCCCCGTTATATTCAAGCCAAGCCTTGAAGGACATAGGGAAGGAAGGTCACTCTAGACAGAGGAAATAGCTTGAGCAAACACACCGTGCCTGGGTTGTGATGCTTTGGGCTGCAGAGAATAGGCTGCCCAGTCAAAGGGCTTTGACAATAAGGAAAATATATTACCTTTCAAGACAAGAAGTCCAAAGGCAAGTGATTTCAGGGCTGGCTAATTGAGCAGCCCAAAATGGCATCAAGTTCCATACATTTTCTTTCTTTTTTTTTTTTAAAGAATACTTTTTTTTTTTAAGATTTTATTTATTTATTTGAGAGAGAGAATGAGAGAGAGAGAGCACATGAGAGGGGGGAGGGCCAGAGGGAGAAGCAGACCCCCCGCTGAGCAGGGAGCCCGACGCGGGACTCGATCCCGGGACTCCAGGATCATGACCTGAGCCGAAGGCAGTTGCTTAACCGACTGAGCCACCCAGGCGCCCCAAAGTTCCATACATTTTCGACTGTGCTGCCATTATGGGCTGAATTATGTCCCCCTGAATTTATATGTTGAAACCCTAACACCTAGTACCTCAGAATGTGGCTCTTTTCGGAAATAAGGCCTTTAAAGTGGTAACGGAATTAAAATGAGGCTGTTGAGTGGGCTCTAATCTAAGCTGACTGGTATTCTAAGAAGAGGAAATTCAGACACACAGAGAGATACCAGCGGCCCGTGCGCGCACACACACACACACACACACACACAGGAAAGACCACACAAGGACAGAGCGAGAAGGCAGCCATCTACAAGCGAACGAGAGAGGCCTCGGGAGAAACCAACCCTGCCGACACCTTGATCTCAGCTTCTCGCCCCCAGAACTGTGAGAAAATACATTTCCGTTGTTTAAGTCCCCAGGCTATTTTGGTATTTTGTGGTATTTTGTTATGGCGGCCCTAACAAACTCATACAGTTGGCCAGATGGCTGCAGTGGTTTTTGGAGTGATACAGACATGATGTCATTCATCATTATCCTGCTTTTGATGTCATCCACCCTTGATGAGGCTGAAGGGTTTCCCCTTCCTGTGTGTCTTTTTATTGTGCGCCTGTCCCACAGATGCTTTAAAAAACTTCCCTTAGGAGTCTAGGAGCCAGGTGTATTTGCCAGGATATATTTTGGCTGCAACAAAGACACAAATAACAGTGGCTCAAACATAATAGAAGTTTCTCTCTTCTATCACCTAAGCAGTTCAGGGCCGCATACCTGGGACTGCTGGGTCCGGGACCCAGGGGCTTCCTATCTTACTGCTAGGCCATACTGGGATTTTGTTCTCACCTTCAACACAGCTACGGTCCAGCCAATAGGAAGGGTAAACCCAGCCGGGAGAGCACAACCCCTCCCTTTAAAGGGATGACCCGTAAGTAGTACAAAATTCTACTGCTCACATCCCGCTGACTAGAACTGGTTTCCTTGGCCACGGCTAACTGCAAAGGAGGCTGGGAAATGTGGTCTTCTATTCTGGGGGGCCACCGGGCCCAACTAAAAAT